CTGCCACTGAGCTTGTTTTCTTGATTTTAATTAAGTAAGGCTTTACGGTACTTGCTTCAGTAAAGCCCAAGTAATAGAGAGGCGGTTAGTTGGTTGAACCCAGACTCCAGGGTGTTAGTCCCAGCTTTGCGGATGATGCTGGGCAATCTAGCTTGGTGTCTCATTGTGGAGGAGAATTAATAAAAAATGATTATGTCGCTCTTTGCAAATATGACTTGCAGCTAAAATAATCAGTGATAATAATATAGGACTAGAGTCTCTGGGGAGTAAACTACCCTTTATCAATGGGCATACTCCTGGAAGCCAGCCCCCTCCTGGGCCCTCCTCCGGGCTGCCTGGTGTTCAGTAGGCATCCGGTATTCCACGTAAATGCACAAGATTACTCCAGGGACTCCTCTGATCAGAATGGAAGGACCACATCATCCGTGACGACTCCTGCTCCATCGCAGATCTCCATTTTGTCATGAATTCTAATATGTCTGAAATCTTTTTCTTTCTTGTCGTTGCTACCACAATGGCTCTGGTCCAAACCCTTAGTTCTTTTCTTGAACATTCCAGCAGGCCTCCAGCTGGTCTCCCTGCCTCCCATCTTACTGCAATACAAGCCTTATTTCATACTTGTGTGGGAATGATTTTTTAATAAACCAAGAACTGACCCCATTACCTCTTGGATTCAGGCTCCTTGCTGGTGCCTGCTGTGTGCAAAATCAGCGCCGGACTTCCATGGCACACAAGGGGTCAGGGCAAGGCAAGGAACTGACATTTAGGACTGCCCGCTCAGTGTCCTGACAAAGTTATGTCATTTACCCCAACGATATAACAAAATAAATTTTATTGTTATTCTCATGTCCAGTTTAAAGAAACTGGGAATCAGAAAGTTTTGGTAACTTGTCAAAAGCCTTAGAGTGACTTTTTGTACTCATATTGTCTAACTTCCAAGGCCATGTTCTTTTTACCAGGCCTCACTGCCACCCTCACGAGCTATTCATGGCAGGCTTCAGATAATGTTTGTTTTTCTGCCTACCCTCCTACTCCCTGTGCAAGAGCCACATCAGACAACCCACCACTACCCACCAGGATGTAATATTCAGGTTCCAAGTCTTTGCACTGAGCACCGTCTGCCTAGCATACTGTGGCCACCCCCATTCATCTTGCAGTGTTCTTTGGGGCTGGGCTCCTATCCTTCCTTTAAAGGATCAGCTGAAATGCCACTCATCCAGGAGAGTTCCCTTGTCCCTTGAGCATAGTTAACTGTTCCTTCCACTGTGTCACTTCACCGTTGCCATCACCCTTTCATTCATACCTCCATGTTAAAGCTACCTTATCAATGCACGAATGTTCATGTCCCCTGCCCTCATCTCTTCAATGCCTGGCAACTCTCCGATTCCTATCTGATTCTCTGGTTCCTGTACAGTACAAGGAACATGGAAAGTGCTCAAATATACTTTGAGTGAATGAGAATAATAAAGGAAAAACAAAATATGGATACTAGAAGTTATTCTTCTCCTTGTACTGACATTTGTCTTTGTAGTAAAGATCACATACACACACACACACACAAAATACTTCTTTCTCCTTTTAAATTCAGATTAGATTGAGTTAACATTTTTTAAAAATAAATTTAGCAAGAAAAATGCTAAATCAGCTGTGTGTAAATCAAGTGTCCATGCATATGAGTGAGAATCAATTATATGAAAGTTTTAGAAAATATAGGTCATTAAATATGAAATGTCCGATTTTAAATCAAAAGTGTAGTTTATTATGTCTCAAACAAGAAGCAGTACAATTGGTCAAAGTATGTGCCTGAAATATCGACACAGTTTTGCCATCTTAATGGTGGCTTGTTTATGCCAGCAGTTAAGAAACTTAGAGAGTAAATGGCGATGAGATTGCAAAAGGCCTTTTCCACAGCTTGTTGAGAATTGAATATTTTTCCTTTCAAGAAGTGGTCCAAAACCTGGAAGAAGTGGTAGTCAGTTGGTGCAAGTTCTGGTGAATAGAGTGGATGACTGAGAGTTTCTAAGTCCAGCCTCTGTAGTTTGAGCAGCTTTGTTTGTGGGACATGTGGTCTTGCAAGAGGATTGGCCTGTCTCTGTTGACCAGTGTTGGCTGCTTAATCACAAACATCCTCATCATTTCATCCAGTTGGTTGCAGCAGACATTTACTGTAATCGATTGACCAGGTTTCATGAAGCTGTAGTGGATAATACCAGCACTGGACCACCAAAGAGACACCATTAGTTTTTGGGGGTGAATATTTGGGTTTGGGCTGTGTTTCAGCACTTCATCTTTATCCAACCATTGTGCCGAACACTTGCAACTCTGAAAAAGAATCCATTTTTCATCACACGTAATAATACGATGTAGAAATTATTCATCTTTACATGGTGACAGCAAAGAAAGCCAAGCTTCGAGACAATTTCTCTTCTGAAGCTCATTAAATTCATGGGGTACCCATCTATCCAGCTTCTTTACCTTGCTGATTTGTTTCAAATGGTCCAATATTGTTGGAATAGTAGCAGCAAACCTTGCTGCTAATTCATGCTTAGGTTGAGATGGATTTGCTTCCACTACAGCTTTCAGCTCATCATTATCCACCTTGGTCTCAGGTCACCTGGGTGGCTCATTTTCAAGATCAAAATCATCAGAATGGGCTGGGCGTGGTGGCTCACGCCTGTAATCCTAGCACTTTGGGAGGCCGAGGTGGGCGGATTGCTCAAGGTCAGGAGTTCGAAACCAGCCTGAGCGAGACCCCGTCTCTACCAAAAATAGAAATAAATTAATTGACCAACTAAAAATATATATACAAAAAATTAGCCGGGCATGGTGGCGCATGCCTGTAGTCCCAGCTACTCGGGAGGCTGAGGCAGTAGGATCGCTGAGCCCCGGAGATTGAGGTTGCTGTGAGCCAGGCTGACGCCACGGCACTCACTCTAGCCTGGGCAACAAAGTGAGACTCTGTCTCAAAAAAAAAAAATCATCAGAATGGAACTTCTCAAACTGTTTACGTACTGTGCGTTCATTAGCCACGTCCTTCCCAAACACTTCATTGATATTTTGAGCTGCCTGTGCTGCATTGGTTCCCCAGCGGAACTCATATTCAAATATAACATGAATTTGATTTACCCATGATTTCACAGAAATTGCTCTAAAAAATTTTGAAAGATAATCACAAGCCAAAAGGTGCTTTTGAAACAAGGAGGATGTACTTTTACAATAATTAAAAAAAGAAGTGTCAAAGTAAAATGTCACAGATATCAACTGTCAAACTAAGTACTTAAGGAAATCAGACATTTCATACTTAATAACCTAATAATATGTCTACTACCACCCAGCTAAATTACAAACTCACTTAAGAGCACCCATGACTTCATCTTCAACGCCTCCTCTCCATAATATAACAAAGAGTTTGCATCACCGGGGGGATTTCTTAGCTGTTTCTTGAGATTACTTAGGCAACTCTGCCAAAAGCTCTGAAGACGGATTCAAACTTCTATAATATAAATGTCTGGCTGTAAATCCCTTGTCAGTTGCTCTTAACTGAAGTTCTCCCCAAATGAGGGGCTATGTGGAAGCTTTGTCAGTCTGACCCTCCAGTGACACTACCCTGGGCTGCCCATGTCCACTGATGTCAGGGTTTATAAAAAACATACTGAAAGGAAGGGTGTGAAGCCTTGGCAGAGAGCAGGGGTCATATCACATTATCTCAAGTGACAGTGGCCACCAGAGAACTCTGAGGAAACACAACTCCGTGAGAGCGGCATTTGCAGTAGCTGCCGCTGAAGATGTCGCTTGGAAGCAGGGGACGGGAAGGGGGGGGCGCTATTGTCATTACTTGTAGCCGGAGAAACCACATCATTATTTCTGAAGGAGACTCTGGCCAGACATTTCATTTGAAAACTGTCATTTTACAAATGTTTAATTACTTCTCAAATGCAAAGGATGACTGCAAATTTGTGATCTGTCGTGTAAGAAGCTATCAACCTCAACCTCCTTGAGTCACTGGAAAGAAAAACATTTTACACAGAAAATTAAAGTGGTTTGATCACTTTGTATTCAATATGATTGTTCTGTCTTCCCTATGGCTTTGTTCTCTGATCTTATCTATACCTCAGAGGAGGCTTGCCAGCTAAAGCCCTTCCTGCTACGTTCATTCCAGGTACTCAAGATTTACTGCAGTTCCAGCTGCATAGCCAAGAAATCACCTGAAAATTAAGTTCTGAGTTTAATTAGGGGAACTCCATGACATTTCTCTGGGATTCTTTGAAGACGTAGCTCATTCTGTTTTCAAATGTAAAGTTTGAAGCTAGGATAGTTTTTACTGGGGGTGGTTGCTGTCTTTAACGATGCTGTATGTTCAGTTTAATTTGGCAAATATAAGTGAGTAATTTTGTCACCAGATTTTGATCCAGAGAGGACATGAAAATGAGTAAGAAGGAGTCCCTGCACGCTCTGGCTCTGGTGGTCCCTTCACTTGGAGCGTGCTCCACCCCCACCCTCACCAATTCCCTGAACCCAAATCCACTGTGATTCGGAAAAATCTCCACTGAGCTTCCTGTGGTGCCTACGACTGGAAATAATGGTGTCCTCCACTGAATTTCCCCTAGCCCTTTGTCCACATGTTCTCATAACATCCATAGTCAATAACCATGTGATGCAGTTACTGCATTTTTCTTCTCTTCCAAAATACACTTTAAGTTATTAATATTTGAGGACAAGGTTTTTATCTTATGAATTTTGTATTCCTCCAGAGATAAGCATGCTCTGTATGCACTTGAAACACACATATGTGTTACGTTAATGAAAGGACAAATTCCTTCACATTATTTATATCGGAACGGAGGTGTGTGGGCAGAAAGGAGGTGGAGTACAATTTGAAGTGGAGAATGATCAGTTAGTATTCTGCAGAGTTGAGTGAGAGGAAGTTAGTAATTTCATTGGATGAACTAGTAATAACTCATGGTGAGAGTTATGCTATGTAACTGTTCTGATTTGCCCAGGACTAAAGGGTTTCCTAGGATGGAAAAACCTGGGAAAGGCCCAGGCAAACCTTCAAGAGTTGGTCACCCTACTCAAGACTGAGGCTCGTGTACAATAGCCATGGAAGAGGCATTCCACAGGAGAAACTGCCTGCCCGAAGCCCGAGAAGGCTGCTGTGGGGCTTGTTGAAGGAAGCGTCCTCTAGGCCAGAATTACTAACATAAATGATACTCCAGGGTGTCGTGGGACCTAAGATAAGAAAGGAAGGAGGGGCTTTGTAGAGAGGGGGCCAGTCTAAGAAGTTCATCATCCATTGATAAGCAATGGGAGATCTGGAAACCACGAGTGGAGATGTGAGAAGTTGGCAGCTTCTTTCTGACACCACCCTCATGCTAACTTCTACACCTTCCCATAAACAATTCTAGAGAGATGCAGTGGTTCACGGGTCTATCTACTGTCAAGCAAAGTAGTTTCCCCTACGGTTCACCCAAGTTTGGAGTCTTCTAAGGAGTGTGTCCTAAAGAACAATGAAGACATATCAAGGATGGCAGTAGTTCTTGCACCCACTGTGCTGTTTGAAACCTAACGGTCTAGGGTCAGCAAATATTCATCCTACTTGACCGCCTTCCACAAGGGCACCTCTGAACACCACCACGGGCGCTGATGGTCATCTGCTTACTGCGCAGGGGAGCCCGGCCAGCACTTGCAGGTTACAGGTCCATTTCTGAGTGTCCGAGGGCCAGGAGGGGGAAGGAGAAGTCACACCTCGCACAGACACTCCTTTCATAAAAGCAAAAACCTGCAGTCTAGGCTGTCTGACCTTGTTATTTGATTATTTATACCGCCAAGAAAGAGTATAATAATTTTCTACAAGTTTCTCTATGGCTATTAAAGAGTATCGTAACCAGCTTCTTGTATGTTTACTGAAGGTTAAAGAGGAACTGATTGTATTGATTTATATTTCATCAAGAAGAATTTAGGCTGATATTCAGGAAGAATTTTCTTACATTAAATTACCTGGAAAAAAATATGTGTGGTCCACATTCCAATACCTTCTTTCCTTGGAACTAAAATGCTCTGGAGGTATTAACTTTTTACACTAATTTATTATGTACTCAATGAACAAGCACTTATTAAGTACAAGTGTGTAATATAAATAGCTGATACTAAACACATATTAAAATTAATACAGCTTTCAATTTTGTAGCCCAAGTAGAGTGGCAAACTGAGCCAATCTTAGCTCATCTTATTTTTCTCAAGCTCTACACGAATGGCAGACTCTGAGACATGTTTTATCCTGAAGATCTCCTCACTGTGCTAATTCAGTCATACTCCATTCATCAGAACTGCAGAGGTTTGGGGAGGGGAGAGTATAGCACAGCCTGGAAGCTGAAAGTTGATAACAGGGCAAGGACAGAAGACAAATGCTAGCAAGATAAAATGGGTCAAACTGAGAATAAGTGGTCACAGCACAAGCAGAAACTTCAGAAGCCAAAACAGGTTAAACCAGAAACAAATGATCCCTGGAGGGTTGAGAGGCAGTAGGAAATTGAGACAGAGGTTGCCAGGAGAAGTGTCTGCTCTAGGCCGGAGCAAATGTGCCTCTGCACAGGCCTACACAGTCCTGGAAGATGGCTGGGCTCTGCAGTCCAGCCTCCTATTCTTTTTCATTCTGTGTGCAGGCAATTCTGCCCCTGGATAGCCATAAATGCTCCATATGTGGCTTTTCACAGGATTCAAGGCACAGCCTCACTTCATGCTAGACAGCTCATCAGAGGATGGTTAGAAGAAATCTGTGACTAAGCAGTGCAGTTTGAAGCTTATTCCTGGACAATGTCACATTTCCAAAACTGTGATTTAAAATTACATCAGGCAGAACAGATGAAAAGAAATGGGAGAAAAACAATCTCTTTTCTTGAGAGGAAGTGGCGTGGGACGAACCGCTGGTGGGGCATGTTCCATTTTAGGCTCATCTAGGCTCCCAAGGAGCCTCCTAAGACCAGGCTAATAGCTGTTACCCTGGAGAAAAGCAAAGGACTTTGTAATCCTGCTCTCTCTCTAAGAAAACTACATGTTGGGTAAACCTTTTCCAGTTTACATACAGCATACATACCCTTTTACAAAAGCAGGAGCTCACTGTTCAAGAATCTAAATCAGGACATCCTCATTGAACCTTAAATCAATTCTAGCAAACCTCAAAGACAGCTACATTTTCAGTCTGTTGCAAGAACTGCATAAACTCAACACATGCATACCAAACAAAACACAACTAGCTAATTGATTTTACATACCTAAACATTCACCTGTAAGAGAACTCTCTTGGGACCCTTCTCTGCTGAACTGTTGGAACCGTCCCAAGAAACATTCTAAAGAAAGTCAAGAAAATAAATACTGGAATCCCAGTTGTTTCTTCCACTTCTTTGTGTAACAAACCTTAGTTAGGAGTATCTGCAAATGTTGAAAGATAAAAGAAGATAATGGCCTTTTAACTGGCTAGAGGGGAAGCAGCATGTAACACCTTGCATTGAATTTAGATGACACATATAATTTTACTTGAGAAAAATAGATCTAGTATGATCAGGGCATGCAGAATGGTGGAGAAAAGATTCTGGAAAGCCACATTATGGTTGTTGGTGAAATTTCTGGCGTCCCATGTCATGTAGGCATGGTTGCATGGAATGTATTATAAGGAAGAGCAGTGTTTTGATATCTCTTCTGAGTGTGCACTGCTGTATTTGTTGAGTTCCTTGTGTTTATTTTTAGAAGTGAAGTGGTTTAACAAACACATTTTCCATCTAGTAATCAGATCACCAGTCAATAAAGTCAATCCATGTTAACTTTAACATGGATCTGATAAAAAATAAAGGATGTATTCCATTCTCTGCCCCAGTAAGAAAAAAGCATTCAAGCCACCTCAAATGTGATCCTACCAACTTTTCCATTCTTTACCGCCCCCGCCCCCATCCTCTGCAGGCCTCTCCAAAAAACTCTCCAAAAGTTCAGTCAGCTGAACTGATCAGCTTATGCTCCCCAGACAAGTCCTGTGCTTTGCTACCTGCCTGGTTTGCTCTGTTTTTCTTTCACCTGAACACCCATCTTCTCTCTGCACGCTCCCATCAGATTTTCCTGAGCACAGACTCCACTTCTTTAATGAAACCCTGCCATCATCAAAGTCATATTGATTTTAGTTAAAAAAATTTCGAGTAACCCCTAGCCACATCCCTCAATTAATAACATTTAAAACTGAAGTCCAAAGAAACTGGACTTAAGATTCAATAAGCAGCTGGCCGTGGTGGCATTTTCCTCCTCTGGCCCTGCTTGGTCCTTTGCACTGATGTGCCCTTATGTTACCTTGTTTGTGCTTGCCCTGTTACCTCTACCGTAGGCCCTGCTCTCTCACCATGGATGACATGCTACCTGAAATGTTAAATCTTGAAAACATAAGAGAAATGTCTTTCAGATATTAATCTATTTAATTGACATGATTAAAGAAAAACAATTATTTTTCTCAAATTCCATCTACATTCAAAAGTAAAATCTTCAGACTGGAATTGATGATAGGGCAGGCATTCCTCACATAAAATTTCATTGGAGATCTTAAAAGATGAAGGTTATATCTAAGAGAATTTAGACATATGGAAACTGTTCATTCTCATAAGCTGTAAAGTCCAATAACATATGAGATTCACATTTTTATCACTGTTTTAAATCTGATTAGTTTAAAAAAAATTCCTAACTTTTGCCACTGAACTAAGTGTTTGACAGTTTTTATTGCCAAGGGACTGATTAGCTGTAGTATTCCATTCAAATTAAAATGTGACACATTTATTGTACGTATAAATAATGTATATATATATTCTATTCAATCTATATTCTACAAAGGATTAAAAATGGGGAAAACAGACTTTGGGCTTCAAAGAGCTTACTTTTTATTTATTTATTTAGATGTGTTTATGGCCTGGGAGAAAGCAGATAAGATAGGTCAAAAATAACAATTTTAAAACAGTAAAGAGAACTATGGGCTTTTGCAAGAATATAGAAGCTTGATATTTGCAATCTCTGAGTGAATTGTTACAACATAGGGAAAAGGAGCACAAGTTTTGGGGTCCATTAGAACTTGCATGAATCCTTGTTCTTCCATTTCTATATTAATGGTGAAATCGTGGCAAATTGCTTTCTTTAAGCCTTGGTTTTCATCTACAAATAGGGTTAATAATGGTATTTTTCTCAAAGAATTGGTGTGAGGATTGAATGAAGTACAGCTGGCTCTATATATTCAGGGTTCCATATTGGTGGGTTCAGCTAACCACTGATCAAAAATAAAAAATAACCATATATCTATAAAAATACTAAAAATATAAAAAAATACAGTATGACAACTATTTACATAGCATTTATGTTGTATTTGGTATTATGAGTAGTCTAGAGATGATTTAAAACATACGGGAGGATGTGTATAAGTTGTATGCAAACACTATGCCATTTTATACAAGAGGTTTGAACATCTGCCAATTTTGGTATCTGCATGGTCCTGGATCCTGTCCCTGACAGATACTGAGGGACTGTAATACATACAAAGTACTTAGCAAAGTTCATAGCAGGAACTCAGTAAATGTAAGCTGTCATTAGTTTTAGGGAAAGAGCCCATAGAGAGAAAGAACTGTAGGAGAAGTCTATTTTTCAAGAATGGACAGAATGTGAGTAACCAAGACACATACAAAGAAAGCAGATTGGCTAGGGCGAAAGCCACACTTGCAAGTGGTATAGAAGCAAAGTGATAGGAAGAAGAGTTGATGAATATAGACTGTACTTGAAGAAGTAGGTCTGTTTATGGATAAATGGTTCCCCCAAAACTTACTAGGATAGAAATGAAGAGATAACTTACAGCATTTTTTTCTGAGACATTGATCAACCCAGAGTAATTCTACCTATGCTCAAGAAAAATGCTTTTTTGAACTTACCATCTCATTCTACCTTCATCTTTGGAGACATGGCTTACAGTGTGTTTTAAAATTGGATATGAACTATACTTATTAATAGAAGACCTTCAGCAGCAAAAGGAAACTCACCCAGTCATTATACAGTTGACAGGACTTTTACACATGCATATTGGCTAAAGTAATGCACAAATTGATAAGAAAATTCATAGCTTGCACTATGGAAATATAGTTCTCTCTTGACATAAAGCCACAGAACATGACTTTTCTTTCTCTTACCAGCTATAGTAAGTTCTATTATATCCATTGAATGCAGCAGTCTGAACATGAGAGTTATAAGATCTACATTAATATATGAATTAGGTCAATTTGAGTAATTTATATTCTTACAAGATAAAAAAAAAAGTGGCTTGTAACCTGTCTTCCTCTTGTATTGCCCTCACTTTATAAGGTTGTGTATAGACCAAGGCACTTACAAGCATCACATGCGTGCCTTTTCTAGCTCTTTGAAATGGTAGCATAACTACATGTGTCCATCTCCCTCACTACACTGTCAGTAATTTAAAGATGGGGATTTCATTTTATTTGTATCTGTATTCCCAATCACTTAGTCCATGCCAGACCAATAAGAGATACTTTATAAATGTTTGCTGAGGGACTGAGCATCTTTTATCTCATATTGAACTCTGTGCTATATAGCTATTTAGCTTTCTGAAGAAAAGTATCATGGTTGATATCTAACTCTTGTGTTTCTCTGCATAGTGCCCCTTATAGAAAACAAATGTAGAAGTTCGTGGTTCTTTATGCCACTCTTCACTTTGGAGTTCAATATCATTAGAACCTAAGCCCGTCTCCAAATTCATGTCCAATGAGGTGGATGAGACAAAGTAGCTGCTCCAATAAATTGAGCTTTCCTAATCTCCCTATGCAAGTTAGCAGTCTCCTGAAAACAGAGATAATCCTGAACAGGACTCAACTGATGGTAAGGTGTGGAAGAGCAGGTGACCTGTGGGTTCTGCAAAAGCCTGACTGTAAACACAGGTGCACGATTGAGCAGTGTGAGCAAATCTAGATGCAAGCAAGTTCCATCTGGCCAATGCCTGTCAGTCCTGTGCACTTCTGGTGTCTGATATTGCCTGGAACATAAAATGCACTTTAATAAATGTCTGGTGGGAATAGGAGGATAAAAGTAATAACCTAATATTTAAGAGCCTTAAATATTTAGGGTGGAACTTAAAACCATAAACAAAATTCCAAGCAAAGGCCAAAATCTAGGATGCCAGCCTAGAAGTAGTAAGAGGCCAAAATAATAAAATTCAGCATCAGAGAAAGCAGGCAGCAAATGGCAGGGGCTCAAACCTACTGAACAAGAGCAACTTAGGCCATGGGCTCAATTCATTTTGAAACTGAAGTTCAAGGGTAGTAACTGCAGCTACTGAAAGATGGAGGTTTCTAAGTCCTGGGAGGCCTTATCAGCAAGGCTGATTTGAT